GAACTCGCAGCCAGTTGATCAAGAGCAACAATCGAGAAGCTGCTCGGCATCGACATTCGAACCCAAGAGGGCCGGCCTTCAAGAAGCCCAAGCTGGAGAGAGGCAACAATTTCTCCCAACGTGATGCGACTACCGACCCAAGTGAGGACATGGCAAAGTTCTTGCTCAGCTTGAAGCGTTTGAAGCTTGTAGATGCCTGCCAGGAAGCATGTCCAATGCCTGACATTCAAGGAATCGACTTCCGTGTGCGCCGTGTGGGTGATCATGACGGAGGGTTTATGACGTTCTGTGCCCAGTCTCATCTTGTAATTCTAGATAGTCTGGATGAACTGGCTTCGAAGCGAGGAGGAACGTGCCTTTTCCAGCCTTGGCGGATTTTCATGTTTAGTTAAGTATTATGATTCTGATTCTTGTGTGTTTTCAATTTGTTGGGACGAAGGTCATTGCAATGGGTGAGAGTTGCACGCATGCTCAGGTCTCAGATGTGCAAGATTGCTTGCACAATTGCAGCCTTCGGTCTAGCCTGCATCTCCAAGCAAAATTGGTGCAAGTTTGCTGAAGGAGGACGCCTAGAGGGCATCATATGCCACAAGAAAAGTTTGGCTGACGACTTTGTCATCGTTTGTGATTTCGAGGAAGCAGAATCTGTGCATTGCGAAGAATTTGTCAAGCAGTTAATTCAAATGTCCAATGGCTGGCAATGGTTCCGATCCATGGATGAGTACAAGCGTGGCGCAAAGGCCAAACCCAAGCCAAAGGCAAAAGCTGTCGCAGCCAGGTGGAAGCGCAGGCGAGGGCGGCCCGGGCCTGCATTTGTGATCAAGCTGGAGGAGACCCTGACGAATCATGCTGCTTTGTGGAAGCTCTTTACACAGATCCGCCGCATCCACCGTGTGCCGCAGTTGCAGCATGCCTCACTTCAGTGACCAGTAGCCGTCTCCCGCATGCAGTGAACAGCCTGCCGCCTGCCGCCTTCCTTTAGTTCTCCGCCCTCCGCTTGTTTTTTGTGAAACATGGCCATGCTGAACGTAGCCGGGGCCATAAGAAGATGTCAGTTGGCGTGGGCTCGGGTCAATGTCAGCCCGGCTGGCTATTGAACAAGTGCCCCTTGCGCCATTCAAAAGATTTTGCTGTGCGTGGAGGCCCAGGTGGCTTTGGAAGAAGCTTTGCATGCCGTGTTGCAACCCGGGCCCAACAAGCGAACTGGTTTCCCTGCTGCCCTTTACTCGCTCAAAGCACCCATCAACCCATCAAAAGCACCAGAAGTTTGAAAGCCTCATGTAATCCCATCAGTAGTATCTTGAGTGAGTGAAGCTCTGCGGCCAGGCCCTGGACGAGCTGATCAGCCTTAGCGGCAGCAGTGCCGTTTTTGGCATGCCCTGCTGTGTGTGTGTGTGTGTGGGTCGGGGTGTGGCCGAGGGTAAAGATAGAGAAAACTGAAAGCTACTTGGTCGTACTTCTTAATGCCCTTGTCAAGCCTTCGTTGCAACCATAACAGTGTGGCAACGCGAGCTTTGTAAAGATTGCATGTCCTGGTAGGCTAGGCATGTGATTAGATTCCTTGTTGACTAACCCACTCGACACACGCCCGCGGCAGAAATATGCAACGCGTTGCTGTCGCGCGAGCGCACAAATCAATGTATATGCCAATGTAGCACGCGCTTGCGCCGATGGTCGTGTTCTGTTTTGATGTGCTGGGCAGTTGCTTGCGTAGCTTTGCCGTCATCCTGTCCTGGCGCAGTGCCATGATGGAACATGCCAGCGTGCGCGCCTACCTGTTGTGTGCTTGTGCTTTTTGTCATAGTTATTGCCTGCGAAGTGTTTGCGTGAATGCTGGAACGCAGTGGGCACACACATTATGTCTTGTGGAAAGTGACCAGTGTTGGATCCTGATGGTTTCCACTGATGCAGCAATGGGCGCTCCAAATTTCAGGGTTTTGCTAATATTTTTCGCCTGGGGGCTGAAGCCATCCTAGAAGAATAAGATTTATATAAGGATTCTAAATCTTATGATGTTTTTTTAAATTGATTATGATAATAATTATGTTTTTTTAATTGATGTTTGAATTTAATAAAAATAATTATGTATTTGATAAATATTATATATATATAGTAATAATATAATGATTTTATAATAAATTGAAAATTTTGGGTTTTAACTTAGATAAGATTTGGGTGGTGTGGGGCGGCTTTGAGGTAAGGTTTAACGAGATTGTTTTTAGGATTTAAGCACTAAAATGAATATTATATATTGTTAGGGATATTTTTTAAGTTTATGTGTTTTTAATATTATATATTAATTTAATTATATATTTTAATTATAATTTAATTATAAAAAAATATAATTTTGTTACAAATAATATGTTTTTTAAAAACAAATTATATTTATTTTTATTTTTTATATATAATTTATTTATATATAAAATATATTTTTAATTTTTAGAATTATATATTATTGCTTAATCGATCTTTTATGGATTTTCGCTAATAAAAAATATTTTTAATTATAATTTATTTTTAATAATTATATATAATTCTGCTTTCTTAATTTTATTTTAAAATTCCTACTAAAAATTAGTATGGAATCTTTATGCTTCTAGATCTAAATTCGAATATATTTCTTTTTACATTACCATAATTTTACTAAAGGAGAATTAAGAACAAATATCTATTATAATTTCCGAATATAATTTTAATAAAATCATATACCTTATTCTATAGAAGAAATTAAAAACACATTAAAAATAATCAATCCATTATATACCATACAACAATCTAATAAGGTTCCATTAAAAATAAATTTCAGAAAGCCAATATTACGAAATAAAAATCTAAATTTCGATTCCCCCTCTCGATTCTTTACAAATTCGGATTTTCTACCTCCTTTCTCCGAAAAAATTAAAATCAATTCAACCACCATATTTTTATAATATTAAAAAACAATATACAAATATATATAATTATAATTATATATTAATTTATTTTTATACATAATTTCAATTATTATTAAAAATCATTATTAGAATTGAATTATAGAAATAATATAAAAAGAACATAATAATAAAATTTATATAGTATTAATAATTTGAATTATGTATTATATATATTTAATTATTGTTTGGAATAAACAATAAAATATAATATATATATTTAACCAATAAATCATAATTAATTTATAAAATATAATTATATAAAATTTTATTATATTTAAAAAACCAAAAATATATAAAATTTAATATTATCAAAATATATAAATAATTTCATTTCATTTATTACTAACAGATTATTACCAAAAACATAATAAGATAACAATTTTTTAATAAATTAATTCGACTATATAATTAATTTACATAACATAATTAATACAATTTAATCTATATAATATGATTTATTGAAATTGACGAACACAATCTATACTACACAACCTAATTCAGATAACCTAAATTTACACATCCTAATTTACACAATCAACTTAACTCACACAACTTGAATTACGCAGTCTAATTTACACAGCCTCGTTAATATAGTTTAATTCACAAAGCCGAAACTCACAGCCTTTAATTCTATTTTTTTTTTCTAATATACACTAAGAAGATAAATCTTCTATGGGGATCGTATGTGTTAGAACGCTATCGTCGACGAATTCTTTGCAGAGATTATGCGTGTTAGCATTCTAGCTGCGGCGACGTACGAATCTCAAAGCTCGCCGACAAATCCTTTACGAAGATTAAGTATATTGAATCGCTCTCGTTATAACATCGTACGAATCTCAAAATTCATTAACAAACCCTCTATACAGATTATATTGCTTTACCCTTGTAATAATTATTAGAACGAATTCTTAACCTACTAATTTCCGGATCCTAATTAATTTTATTTAATTACAACAAAATGTCATACAATCTTTTAATATTAGAATTCTTTAAAATCAATTCAACATAAAATTATTTATATATTTTTAATATTCTTTAAACTATAAGTTAACCTATAAATTAGTAAAATCAATTATTAACAAAACCTCACTTTATATTTATATTCAATTTATATTAACAATATTATAATCATAATTTAACAAACACTAAAAAAACATAAAATAATAAACAATATTCATCAATATCAAATTATAATCTACCTTTCTCTATTTTGGTTATTATTTCCTATTTATTTATTTTATCATCAAACCATATTAATCATTATTTATATATAATCTTAATTATTATATCAAAATAAAATATTCAATTTTTCAAAATATATATATATAAATAATAAAATTAATTATCTTTTTATATCTATCCTTCTTTATTTCTTATATAAAAAATTACAAAAAACATATTATCCCAATAATATATAAAATAATATACGAATAATGAAATAATCAATTTTTAACAATATAATTAAATCTATTATAATTTCATATAATAAAATCATATACCACAAAAAAATCAAAAGGTATTTTAGTAATCGATGTTATTATATTTTTACGGCAAGTGTGTATGTGCATGTGTGTGTATGTGTACACGCCGTGCGAGCAGAACAAATACAGCAGATTTTGCGCAAGAACATACGGACACTTTTTCCGTACGCATGGTTTGCGCGTACAGTGTGCGCCTACACTGTACGCGCATTGTCCGTGGACTGTACGCGCACTGTCCGCTCACTGTACACGTGCTGTACGCACTGTACGCGCGCAACATGCGTGATGTTGGCCCTGCCGTACAGGGGCCTTACTCTTTGAGCATAGAGGTCTGAAAGCATGACTCTTGAATCTAGATAATGAGACAAAATACATATTTAATTCAAAACATATGTATTGAATCGTGTCATGATGTTCAAGCGATCCTTTTTGATGGACATCCGCTGACATTATTGAGCTTCTATTTTTCACTGCAAACGCAAAATATCAATTACACGAGGGGAGAGTCCTGTGCCCGGTATTGCCCTTTTCATGTCGGAGAGCTATCTCCAGAATTCGCAATGTCAAGTGCTTGGAGAGCATCCGGACAGTCTAGCTCTTGGCAGGTGCGCCGTTAAGAGGCCGATGGTTCCCTGCAAGGCATGTGCCAATTCAAGTTCGGAGTATCATTGTATCGGTGAAAAATTGGTATGCGAGCGCACTTGTTCGTGCATGTTTGATTCGTCTCAATCTTGGTGTCAAGCCCACTGAGTGAGCCTTTGAGCCCGGCCGAGACCCAACTTGACGCACGCTCGGCTTCGCCGCGGCTTCTAAGCCCTTCAGCGCCTTTTGCGGCGCAGCCGCCCAGACCTCAGCGAATAGGAAGATTCTTTTGTGCGAGAGTGGATGGTCATCAAATTCCTCCCAGCACTGAGACTCCAACAAACCGCGAATTCCGCGAATTCGATTCCTGGCACTGAGAGATGCCATCAAGACCCAGTCAGCATCTTCAGAGGACTGCAAAGTGTCGGTTGGCAAGGCGGAATACTTCGGATTGGCAACCCCCCCGAACCATAGATACTGCTTTCGCCCGGCCTTTGCCTCTTCAAGCAGCAGGATGGGGTTCACGTGGGGGGCCTGGCATTGAAACCGCCCAGGCTCGTGTCTCATGGCCCCTCCTTAGCACTTCATGAGAATCCTCAAGTATTTACTCTAAAATTGATATCGGATTCCCCTTAAGGTGCTTTGCCCCCTGCCTCGCGATGAGGAGATCTGCTGGCTCGTCTGACCCAAGGCAGCCTGCGGGCGGACTGCTCTGGACCCCGCAAATGACCCCCAAACTCAGGGTGACTGGCCCCCAAAACAAGAATGACAGTGGCTCAAATGGGCCATAGCTACATGTACATGAGCCCTTGCAACAAATCACGAGAAGCAATGCTGTGTGAGATGCACGCACCCGAGATGTGCTCAAATGCCTCCAGCTCCTCATAGGCATTGCGCTGCACGGTCTGAGTGTTCTGCAGCCTGCGCCACAGGCCAACTAAGCCTCTGGACCTGCACCCCTTGCGAAGAGACTCAGTGGGTGCTCCAAATGCTTGGGTGCCAATTCATTGGGCCGAAACATGGGTCTGGAAATCACAGGGACACCTGCCTTGTTCCAAGGTGATGTGTGCCATGTTGGTTCCTCCCCCACGTCTGCTAGGGCCTCTGGATAAGTTCCATCTCTTCCTTCTCCATTTTGGCAACAAGCGCATCCGTACCTCAGCACGCGCTGCTTTTTTGGCAGTCAGGTACAGGCTTGGCGCAGCAAGCAAAGCTCCGGACGTGCTCGCAACATCTCCTCCTGCGCTGTTCGAGCCTGGCATCACAACGGCCAAGCATGATCCCTGGAAGACCACTGATTGGCTGCAACACGTAGATTGCAACCACTAGACCAAAATTCAGCAACTGCAAAAAACAACGTGCGTGCCTGACCAAGAGTGATTCTGCCAAAGCTATGAAAGAACATCAATTGGTTGTATACTTGAGAGGCGGGACAAAACAAATGTGTCCATTGGTGAAAAGGCCTCATTGAAGACAGTTCTACTTTTAACTGCGTCCTGCCTCGTAATCCTCCCGGTACTTCTCCAGCTGCGCCAGTCGTTCTTCCTCCAGACGCCGCTTTGCCTTGGCATGCACCAATCACCCACACACCACGAAAGGAGTTGGGCCAGGCATGAAACACATCGGAACATGATTGATAAAAGTGGCTTTTATGTCCACCATGAATTCCCAACTAAAAATCACAGCCATCTTTGGTGGAAGCGGTGGTAGAGTAATCATCGCCCCTTCCATCCTAGACAGACATACCCACCTGCGGATGGTACGTTCCGCCCAGCTCAAAGCGAGTCAAGTTGATGGGTGGTGCAGTCACTGCATGCTTCGAAGCAGACAAGCTGTGAAGACATCCAGGAGATTCTGAGATGTGAGCCGTGGGTGTCTTTTTTGGACTGCTATTGCTCACATAAAGTAGATGGCATCCCACTAGGCCTAGGGCATCATCCTTCCTCTGCTTCAAGTAGGAAGACCTGGGGCGCAAGGCAGCGCGAAGCGCCTTGCGATCCAACCTACCGGAACATTCTAGAGATGCTCATGGTGAGCAACGATTCTTCACCTCGCAAGCATTCGCAACCCCTTCGTCGCAAAATCCCACAACTTTCTCTCCATCGTATGGATGGTCCAGGCCGCAGGCCGCTCCAAGTTCGCCTGCCTCTCGGCCTCGGAAGTCTCAGCTTTGGGGCAGTTTCGGCGCGCGCTGAGCAGCCACGCGCCGAACAAAAATCACAGCAAATGGGGGTTAGTGCCTGGAATTGACCCGATCGCCCTTTTCCCTGTCGAATCCTGGTCTTTCCGACCTTCCGCAGGATACCTTTCAGGAAGATGCCCTACACAATCTTCGACATGCAGTTTAGAACGCCCCAGCTGAAGGATAAGATGTAAGGCGAAACATCAAGCCGTGCATCATCTCCATGGTGTCGACATCTTCGACTCAATCGAGTCACATTCACGTTGTAGGGGCCAATAGGTGCGGAACACAAGGACTTGGCGCAAACCAGTGGGCAATGCTCAAAATATGTTGACTGTTCCATTATTGATGATGGTTCATTATTGCGCTTACTATTGAATGTCTGAAAGAGAATCATCACGTAGTAAAACCACCTACTAACATGGCCAACTAAGGTTTTGGGCGCTGCTCACGTATCGCATACACACGCCCAGTGTAACAATCCGGGCTTTTTCTTCCGTCAATCCGAGCGGAATCGCAACAGTCTCCTTCAAAGGGCGCGTTCAAAGGCACGTTGCAAGGCACGCTGCTAGGCAGACTCCAAAACACTCTGTACAGGGCTCCAAGACTTCTACGAAAGAGTCCAACCCCTGCCAAAGGACAAGGACTATGAAGCAAGCGTTCACCAAACCAAAACGATATCTCACAACTGGTGTCACTGAGCTTCCCACAGCCTCACGCTCCTGGCAAAGTGCTTAGGCTAAAGCCTTTTGTGTGAAGTTCTTTCATTCTCTGCGAGTCCGTGAACTTGACCCACGCAAAAAAAAGAAGAAGAAGCATCAAGAAACACATCACGGCAGGGTCGAACACAGCATCAGCTTGGTGTGGGAAGATCAGATCTGTGTCTTGGCTTGCTTGGCTTGAGCTCCTTCTTCTGCAACAGCATGCTCTGGGACTGGTGCTTGGTGCTCTGGGCGTTCACGTGCCTGGGCGCATCGCTTAAATCAACAGATTCTTGGGAAGCTACAATGCAAGGGTACCTAACATTCTTGCGCTCTAGAATGTTCGCCCATTGGGAGGTGTCATTTTAGTGGCTTGCTTTGAAAACACAGAAAGGAATCCACACAGTTTGAGGTTATCCTACTCAGAGACAAACCCAAATACTTGTTTTGATGCTAAGCTGGCTCAGTTGTTGCTTGTTTTTCAATCCAGCATGAATTGCGCACAAAAGCAGCAAAGACCAAAGGCAACTCCTGTAAAGCGCAGTCGCATCCCCAAGAGCGGCACAGCGCGAGAAGCAAATTTTACAGCAACTGCCCATCAAGTCATCAATCCAATTGGAAGTATTCCCGAGGCGATCCAACCGGGGGATGTTGGACACCTGCAAACAGACTCTAGGCCATTGCCAATTTTAGTCGCAACGTGATAGTGTTTGCGACGAGCCGACTCAAGCTTCATGAATATCAAACAGTCCCACCGCATTTGTCCCATCAAATGACTTTTTATTCGGGACTCGCTGGACATGAGTCACATCCACCAACTGTTGATCATGCAACGCCCGAGGCCATGGCTTCTGCTCCATGAGGCCATGCCGCGTTTGCTCGCGCACCGCCTTGGCCTTCTCCCGCTGCTGAGCGTTCTGGGCCTGGCGAATGCCGAAGACTCCAAGCAGTGCAAATGACGACGGTAAAACATTTCGGCCGAGATTCCGAGATATCTGGCAACAACAGGAGCGCCCATGGTTGTGAAGGAATCCCTTCCACATCTGGCTCTCCACCGCTAGCTCTAGCCCCATTTCTGCTCTCCAGGTCGAAGACGCACGCGCGCGCGCGTGTGCGTGTGTGGTGTGCGTGTGCGTGTGCGTGTGCGTGTGCGCGTGCGCGTGCGCGTGCGCGTGCGTGTGCGTGTGCGTGTGCGTGTGCGTGTGCGTGTGCGTGTGCGTGTGGGTGTGGGTGTGGGTGGGTGGGTGTGTGGGGGTGGGTGTGTGGGTGGGTGGGTGGGTGGGTGGGTGGGTGGGTGGGCGGGTGGGTGGGTGGGTGGGTGGGAGTGGGTGGGTGGGTGGGTGGGTGTGGATGGGTGGGTGGGTGGGTGGGTGGGTGGGTGGGTGGGTGGGTGGGTGGGTGGGTGGGTGGGTGGGTGGGTGGGTGGGTGGGTGTGTGTGTGTGTGTGCAGAACCAGTCAATGCAACAGATTTGACCTAGACTTTAGCTCAGCTGGGCTATGGTCCAACTTGTTGTGTTGGATGTGATCATTGTCCAGAAACAGAGCGCAATGGAAATGCCTAAAATTCAATCAGGGCGACGATCACGAACCCCACAGCCTTTCTGGTCAAACACATGGCCCCTTTTGGGACCCTGGCATCGCCTTGGCCCCCCCGCTTTTATACAACCCTAATTTTGACAACCCTCCATGTCTTTGACCCCGGCAAATGTTAAGAGCTCCCCATGGAGCTCGAACCAAGGCAAAGCGCTCGCTCCTGGGCCGAACGGATGGACTCCCACTTCTGCTTGTAGAAATGCTCCTGGCAGCATTGGAATCGATGAGCAACTGGCTGAAACGCTTGTCTTCCGCATTGTGCAACATGTTAAATCCCAAATCAAAACTCGTCAATTGTCCGTAACCAGGACTCCAGTAAAGGCACCGAGGCAGGACTTTCTACATATTCGACCAGTTTCTCTCCTTTCTGGAGGATTCTCCATGTGCTGGCCACCAAAGCGCAGAACATATTCAAGGCTTCGCCGCTCACCCATTTATGGATGTTCTCCCAAACATATAAAACCAAGAAATGCACTGAGGGTTGTTGCAGTTGGTGGCTGGGGAAGGCTGTCCTTAGCCGAGAACTTCTGCTCGTTCGACTTCCGCAGCTCCACAATCTCTGCCGCACGCTTCTTAGTCCTTAGAAAGGCACAAGCCGATTCAAGCACGGGCTGGGAAGGGGTCTGGTATCTGAAACCGGTTGCAATCACTTGGCTTGTGCTCTCTATTGTAGGCAACCGTGCCAATCTTGCCATTGAGTGTCGACAAAACAGACTCAGGCAACTGATCTGCACCCCGGCAATGCCACACTCCTGAAGCAAAGCCTGGATTCCAAGCGGATCCGAGCACATTGAACTCTTGCGCCCAGTTCGTCCAGTCATCCTCCGTGGTTCTTCCTTTTGGCTGGAATATGCTGGAATTGGCTTTGATTGGCCGCTACTGAAGGCAAACTCCACAACGAACCAAAGCTCAAACTGCCAGTCGTTCTGGCTGGTCAAACGCGAGCAAGCCACAAGCACCAATCCCTGCAAAACATCCGTTGAAGAGGCCCAGGGTAAACAAAGCCCAACCGGACACACTCCCTGGGAACCATGGCAAGTGATGCCTTGCAAAAGGACAAACATGGGCATTCTTCGAGGCCCGTGCTCTTCGATTTTCTTCCAGGCCTTGCAGGCTCCGATGGAAGATGCGCGTTTCTGGTGGGGAGTCAAGTAGAAAACCTTAGGCCCCTTTTGGCGCTGTTTTATATGCCGAGAAAGCACACACACACAATCACGAATGGAGAAAGGGAGAGGGTCTTCCCGTCTTGCCCAATTTGGAAGAGTGGAACTTCTGGGCAGTCAAGGAGAGAGCAGACATGCAGGCCGCAGCATGCCGAATCACGAAAGTAACAGCGGCATTGTGACAGGGACGCCTGGCCAGTCAAAATGCAGGCCAAGTTTGCACCCCAGAACTGCGTGCCTTCTCCTCTTCCTGCTTCAACAAGGCAATGCGGTTCGCAAGCAGCTGGGCATCCAGTTCTGCCTCAGATTGGCCGATATTGCTTGCACTGCTACTTGCTTCGAGGTCTTGCCAACGACCCTGACCCGAGAGGTATCGCCAACTTTTGCAGCTGAAGCTCAATGTTGCAGCCAATGAGGCGAGTGTTGAAACCGAGGCGAACCGCTTGCTGACGGTTAGCGCAATAATTCAAGTCTGCACAAAGATTGCTAGGCAGAAGCTCATCTGCAACAAATCGACACCCAGCATGTGAGCTTAATCCACATCAGGGTCTGAAGGGCAATGTAGGAATATCCCACGGGGCCATTCAGGTCGTGTTGTCAGGGCTTTCGACAAACCGTCTTCCTGCATGTTGGTCTGACAAAACAGGGCATTGTTCTCGTTCCGCATTGGATTCTTTCGTTGGTTGGTGTGTTGCTTGCTTGGCGAGCTGGCTGATCGGACTAACTCATGGAGCTTCGTGTATCCGCAACAAGGCCTCTGACAGGCGGCTCCGGAGCTGGATACTCTCCATTCATAAACATAGGCCGACAACTCAAAATGAAGTAGAAGGGAGATACATCCACAAACTATCCCCGCAAACTCAGAAGCGCCACCAAACAAGCAGGGTTTGCCTCTTTCTTTCTTACTTCTCGGAGAGTTGCAACCGCCAATTGTTTTACCGATATGATATGCAAGTCACATGCAACATCCGCCGCCAAACTGGAACACGATATACATGTTTGTTCAGGGCACGACCATCGACACGTGGCGCGTTCCTGGTGGCACACTAGTTTTACACAGGCTTGCAATCAAAGTGATGGCCTACAGCATGCCAAACTTGCTTTTGTGACCAGTAGTCATCGTCAATGAGAATTCTCATGCCTTGACCGGCCAACTTTAATGGACGCAGTTTTCCTCCTCAGTAGATTAGGATTCAGGCATTGCTGCTATCTGAAACTCGCTGTAAACCAATTGCGTCCATACATCCACGCTTGCTTTGTTAGCTGCGGACCTGACGCCCACCCATGAAACGCCAACCCAGTCTGCCACAGCTTCACAGACGCGCTTCGTCTCTCCAAACCTTGTTGTGTCTGCAGCCGACTCGGTGCCATTCCCGGGCGCCGTGCTCGCTTCCTCGCTTCCCTGGCAACAGTGAGGTTCGCCTGGCCCTGCAAGCGAGCGGTCAAACTTCGCGGCTCAAGTGGAATCGATAACCATGATCACTAGAGCCTGATCAAACTCAGCTTCGCAGCAGGCATTGTCCGCAATGTCTGTCGAAGGGTTGAGGCCGTGAGAATCTCACTTTGGGAAAGGGCTTCCTGCAATCTGCGGCAGATTGTGGCTTCTTATCTTGCACTCATTGCGGAACATTTTAAGACAAGCCCAACAAGACTGGACCCTCGATGATTCTTGTGGCACACGCGCGTAGAGAAAGAGAGAGCGAGAGAGGTGTTTTTTGGCCGGTGGCTGGAACGTTGCACTCTGACATGGACAAGCACACCTGACGTGATCATCAGTAACCGGCCAACATATTTTCTTGATATTCCTCCTGTGAAACCCAAACATGAGACTGCCTGAGACGCGTGTGCGGCTTCCTAAAAACATCAAGTGCAGCCAAGCCACATCTTGGGGGTACAAACAGTCAACCAAGCCAAACAGTACTTCCACTACTTGGCTGTAGAATTGCAGATCCAGCCCCTCCGGAATCAGACGGGCTCTGTGATCAATCCATGGTGCCTGGTCTGTGTGAAACACATATTGCCATGGAATGTTCAGCATGTATGTCAACAAGGAGAGGCCGCCCTAGACTTTGAGTAGTGCGCTGCCATGGCATGCGCAAAATTAGGATTTGCAAGCCATTTCGGGCCTAAAGCAAATACGACTAGGCTTGTCAAAATGAGAAACCCATATCCTTCGGGCTTTCAAGGGTCTGTTGTCCATCGACTTAGCTCCGACGGTGTTTCAGTTTCGCACCAAGGCCATCGAGTGCCTGCATGCCGCCAGACGCGCCGGCCTCCTCACGGTGCGGGGGAAATGTCCGGGCCCAAAACCGGTTCTCAAGATGTCATCTTCATTTGCCAAAGTCGTGGGACAGATGCATCAAGCAACCAACTAATGGTGGTCACTTGTCTCACCCGCTCTGTGCCTCTGGTTGCTCGCCTGTTCATGATTGCTGGATTGCTGTCTGTGTTAGTCCAGACAACGCGTTGCAGTTTCACTTGAAACAGGTCAATCATTGCACCATGTTTGGCTTAAGGGACTGCGCACATCACACAGGTCCGGCAGTTCAGTTAACAGTAAGTCTTCTGGAATTTCCTTGCATATGGCTGAGCTTTCTCAACTGCCTTCAGCGTGACTCCTTTTCGCGCGCAAACGCACTGCTGGCAAACAAGACAACTATCAGCTGTGCCAGCCATCGCAATGCCTGTTTGAATAGACAATAACAAGCAATATTTTGCTGAAGCCTTGTGGCAGGGCCATTTTCCCAAACTTGGCAAGAGGCCTTCTATCGACTCTCAACTGTCAATCTGCCCGGCAGTGTCGCTCCGGCATTGTTTGGGGCTCTGCCATGAGCACCTGGGCACAAAGATCACTACGCATGCAACGAGAGAAAGAGAGAGAGAGAGAGAGCGGGAGAGCGAAAGGTAAACAAGAGGATACAAGAGAGGAGAAGAAACAGATGCGAAAGAAGAGAGGGACGGAGAGAGAGAGAGAGAGAGAGAGAGAAACCAAGGGGCACAGAGAACCAGAGAGAGAGAGAGAGAGAGAGAGAGAGAGAGAGAGAGAGAGAAGAGAGAAGCAACAAAAAAGATAACTAGCGAACAACAACAATATGTCATAGTTTGAATTCTTGCTTTGTGGTATAGCAATCAAGGCTTCTATTCATTGTTGTAACAGGGAACACAAGAGATTGATACCACAAGCTAGGCCAACATAACCTCCCCCGTCTCTGACATGTCATTTGAAGCGGCACGGCTCAGCTTGACCGAGCAGGGCACAATGAAGGGCGTGCTGCCCGCTGGCGGATTGTCCACTACGGGCCTAGGACTACCCTGTCGGAGCCATGAATCGGGTGGCCATGAATCGGGTGGCCATGAGCCAAAAATGCCAAACGCTAAGTCGACTCCGTGGAGAGTCGCATTGCATCAGAACACATCAATAATGTTTTTTTTTCTCTCCCTCTCTCTCTCTCAACTGATAGGCGGCACAGGTCCAGGTCAGGTGTTGTCAGGGAAGGATGTCACTTTCTACCCGTCTGAGTTCATGTAGCAACCACCAGGCAAAAACAAGTAGAACAGGGAAAAACGCACACACACACACACAACTAAACCAAATTTCGGAAGGCAACAAGTTGGAGCCCGGTAACTCGAAAAAACAATGAACAGCGGTATTTTGTGGATGTAAGTCTATAGCGACATCGCGCTTGAGCGCGCGCCACACGGATGTTGGCAACCTAGCAATCTTTCTCCTCGAGCTCACCATGTCTGTGCGAGCAACTTCCCCAAAGTGCAAGCCTGCTAGTCCTAGTTGGTGGCACTGTCATTTTGGGGAAGCTTGTTCTGGCGAATTGCAAAGGCTGAAGAGAAAGGCCTCTCCGGCACATTTTGTTGCAACAACATATGTGCAGTAACTGGCGTTCCTCAGCCTTGAAAACTACGAGCAATCAGGCCCTCAGCTGCTGCACAATGCCTGGCAAGCGGGATAGGCCAGCAAGAACGCGCTGAACCCTTGCTTTCTTGCAGCTCGTTGCTGTGCAAACTCCGGCCATGCACTCAACCCCCCCCCCCCCGAACACAATGGCCGCCTCCACAACGCGGTCCATGCGCCCGGCGTACTTTGCGAGGAGCGTTCGATTCCGCTCCTGACATGCCATTCGAAAGGGCCAGCGGAGCAAAACAAGCGGGGCTTCACAATTCAAATGAATAATATGTGTTTCGTTCTTTGGACTGGGGGCTTGAGGTTTGCCACCAAAGAAGGGTAACCTGACTGCAGGCACCGATGCCTAGACCCAAACAAAAGCTGCCCGCTCTGGCGGGTCCGTGCCTCGTCGGCAAAGCCCATCGAAAGCAGTTCCCTCAGCTTCTCCTGGAAAAGCAGAGGTGGATTGCTTCAAGTACCACTATGGACAAAACAAAACATGCCTTGCCCTGTCAAAGGACGCTGTCCATAAATCAAAAGATGATTTGCTCGCAAACAGCTCATTCGGCATGGCATGCCTAACCTTCGTGCACAACATTCTCTTGATGCGAGCCAAACAACGATTCTACTCTATGCCGAGCGATCCGCAGGAATTCCCCCGTCCCCCAACACCCACCTCAAAGCCGCCAGTGGCGGGGGTTGCCTTTGACGTGCGCCCCGACACGTAGGGATGGCAACAGGACACACTGAATCTCGCAGGGGGTTGCGAGGGAGGGCTAGCCGAACAAGCGCTGGAACACAGAACGCAACATAGGAGGTCCAACCGTTGTTAGGCCTTTGAAGAGAAAACTTGATGTATGGGATTCGAAGCATCGACGCTCAATGCTGTTGCTTTCATGGTCGCAACTCCGGTGACTCCCCTTGATTCATGACTGATCTGTGCAGACCCGCAAGCACTAGGTTCAAGGCCTGTGCAGCCTGTGCTTCTTGCGCCATTTCCTGTCGCACAATCTGGATGGCCTGGCGTAGCATGCAATGAATCAAAGCAAAGAATGGTGCCATGTCCTAGCCAGGCGTCCATGATTCTCGTCTAATCAGGGTCTCTTCGCAGAGCCAAACTGAATCTGTCCGCCCTCCAAACCGGCATCCAGCCTGCGCTGCAGCTGCATTCTTCTCTATGCCTCAGCAGGATGTGGGCATTGCTGCTGCAGCCGGGGCATTGCTGTTGCAGCCCGCTGCTGCGCCCCCACATCATGAAACATGCTTTTCGATGGATCTCCTGCTAAAGCAACAATTGCTGTCGAGGGACAAGCACATAAGCAGCAAGCTTCATACAATTTGATTCTCTTCCGTGAAGCCGCATACCTTGAATATTTGACATCTGAATCCTTGACTTGGCAACGCATTGACCAGCCGACTGGGCCAGTCGCCGGCGGCGATCAGTTCCTTGAACTTTGCGGCAACTCGCTCCTTGTCGATCGCCTCGTGGTTGGACAGGAGATGGAGGCTTTCACGGCGGAAGCACCCACGACACGTTGATACCAGCACCTGATTTGGGACTAGGTTTCTTTTTGCATTTGTTTGTCACTCTTTGCTCTTCTTGGTTCATGAACCTCCTTCATCAGCTACAGTAATACCTTGACCCATTGGCGCCGGCGCTGGCGCCTGCGCTGGCGCTGGCGGGGGCGGCGGCGGCGGCATGGGAGCCGCAGGTGCAGGTGCTGCCTGAGCCAGCTTTCAGGGCTCCAAACAGAGCTGAGCTTTGGTGGACTGTCATGTCAAAAGTTGTGCTAGTTCAAAGGGCTCCAGCCGACGCTTCCAAAGACTGAACCGTTCAGTAGGAACAAAGCAATGCGCAATTGCCTGCGAAACAGCCCAAGATCTTAAAGCGGCTGGTGATGGTCGAGTGGCGCTGTCGCGAGTTACCATGATTTTCTACTCAAACCAGTTTCATAGCTTGCAATAAATGTCTATAGATGCCAGGGCATGCGATGACCTGTGCTTCCCCACCCGCCACTACCAAACAAGTGAGGCAACTGAGAAAGCTTGTATTCAAGCCTCAGCCCTCCCGAAGGAAACACTGGTGAACGAAAGCTAGCGAACCCGACAACGTCATGTACGACACAGTGGTTGCCAAAATATTGAGAATGGCAACCTTAAATGAACACCCAGAAAGTCATTGAGACACAAACTTGGACCAGATCCTAGTGAAAAAGATTCCTAGCCGCAAGCAATCGCAAACATGTGGACGAGATTTCGGGAACGTGCTGGCAGTGTGGGGCGCAAGGCGGGAATTCAATCCCGGGGGGGGGGGAGGCCCCCCTCAGGCTTGAACAAATCAATCTGTCTGTGCAGCCGGATCGAACTCAATTCTGGCATACCTAGCTTTCGTGAAAAGTGGGCCTTGCTTGCAGCACATGACCCAAACAAAAAGACTGTTGTTTTACTGAGCATGTCATTTTTAGCTTGGGAAGAGTGGATGGACCTGATGCACCCCCTTCGTGCTGTTCCCTGTTGGCTCTTCGAGGGTTGCTTCCTTCAACCCAGGACCTCGCCCCTGCCTGCTGTTCAAAGCCCTCTGCCTGGCAACATGTGACCGTCGCTTGAATCATGATTCGGAAAGCTCGGTGAGGAAGCTGAGGGGGGTGACGCAGCGATGTTAGCTTCTGTGGGACCATTGATCTTCATTGCATCATTGGAGCGTGTCATCGACTGACCCCCGCGCCCGAGCCTGCCGCTCGCTCAAGGCATTTGCCACACGGAGCAGTCGGCCGTTGTACCTCGAATAATGGCTGGCTGATTGTGCTTGCTGGGACTGCACACTCGGGCTGCATTGTCAATCCATCCTGAATCCTCATGCATGAAGAGCTTGCTCGGCTGCCCCAAAATATCGGGAAAAATGCGTTTCCGACCGGCTGTTTCACAAATTGGATGTAGGAGTGAACCGCTCCTGGATTCACTCGCCACCTTTTTTGCTTGAACAAAATCCCGGCCTCTCCAACAGCTCTACAGCTGCCAGCCAATCCTCAAAACCTCAGCACACATCAACAGCTCCCCAAGTTTGCGACCTTTGCGGTGGCCAGTGACAAACTGCAAACTTTACCAACAATTGAGCCTCAACCCCAGGCAGGATTGCATCAACGCGACTTTCTCTGGGTGATAGCGTAGACGCTCCGAAAATCATGAATTTGGGTGGAGATTCCACAAACTTTGGCTTGTCTCTGGAGTTGCCGCCGGCGGTTCTCCCCTCCCTGCAAACACCCCGAGTCTTCGGCTGACGCAAAAAAAAAACACCGTTCACACTCACAAGGGTTTTTCTTGAAGCCGGCCGGTCTCTGACCAAAATCAGCAGAAGGGTTCGGAAAGAAGGACATGACACATGCAAATCATAAGGTCAGATTAGCATCACCTCCGGCTCTGTGTTGCTCATAGAGACCCATCCATGCCGAGGTACCCATTTCGCCCAGCTCTTTGAGCTGTGCAGCGAATCGCTTGGATGCGGCTGCCGCCTCACAAGTCGAACTTCAGTGATGCCCTGCGTTTGGATTTCCACAACTTGCTGGTGCTCAGCAGGGAATGAGGGAATGACCCCTCCCCCTTGGTTTCCTTTAAGGGAATCCCTAGGTTCATTCCAAACACCCGGGGTCATTCCCTACCTATCGCACCACCCAGAAAACTGCTGCATCACATTGCTGTGACTCAATCACCTGGCCAGCTGACGTCGACAAACCGCGCCCCGCCTTTGGCGGGGCCATGCCCAAAGCTACGAGACGCTCGAAGACAGGAACAAGGTCCTGGCATTCGCTGTTGAGAATTCCTCATTACCCTGGAAGCCTTGGAGGTTGAAGCAGTTTTGTCGGGTCATTTGCGACAACTTTGACCGACAACCTACACGAGCAAACACAACTGGCTTCTGTGTTTTGCTTGTTGGATACTAGCTTGTACATACTTTGGGACTAAGCTTGTGCCACAGCGCTAGCGCAGGATTCCCCCACGACTCTCACCAAGAATGTTGCTCTTCGCATTCGCCCAACTTTGCCCAGGACGTTTCAGCCAACAAGCTGAATGTCCAGGCTGCGACTGCCACTGCCAGTCAATCATTGCTACTGAAACTCAGTGCGGCAACACCGGATCACAACTTCCCAAAACCAACACAACTACCCGGCGAAGACACCATCACAGCCAGGTCATTTGAAACAATCGCTGGGGGTGTCAACTCTTTCCATAGGCGCCTAGCCCACGCCGAAATCCGTGCAGGGCAGGCCGCCCCGCGAACCTCTGGCAGCTCGGGCCTCGCTTGCCATGCGCTTCTGGGGAAGTCCAACCACCGATTTGGAGGCTTCCCCATTTCTGAGACACCCCCCCGATTCCCCCCGTGCCTGAGCATTTCCCACACACCCCCGATTCCCCATTTCTCCCGTTTCAAACCCCAAAGATTCAATGCAACTTGTTGGACATCAGCCATACTTTCTTAATTGCCAAGCACAACAATTCGATTCACCATGATTGAGCCCAAATCGAGGAACCAGACATCTTTCCTGCAGAATGGCAAGGCAGTTCCAAGTCAAGGCCTGTTGGCTTGACGCGCCCCCATCAAAATAACTCGTTTAAGTAGTTTTTGAGATTTTCAGATTTCTCAGGCACCTGCTCTGCTGAGGCATCCGGGGTTTCCTGCAAAGCGACTGATGTGCTGTCCCAAACGTTCGGTCTCTGACTCACAAACATCGCCCTGCTGCGGGGCGAGTCGATTCTGCGCACTGCAAGCACTGATGCAAACTGAATCCAAGCTCACCACTGCTTGAGGTGCATTGAATTGAATGTCATGATGATATATTGCTGTGACACACTAACGAGCACATCAGAACTGGGGTCTATTGCAAAGCCTGTCCTCCCCTTCTAGCCGTCGATCCAGCACAGCGTGTGCTTTCTCCTGGGACTGGCGAAGGAGTCCCTCTGCTTGACAGCTCGGCAGCTTGGCTCTTGCTTAAGTGTCGCTTGACTTACTCCCTCCCCAACATGATTTGTGCCAATTCAATAGGCATCCACTTTGGGTGCTCCTCGGCCTCCGCCCAGACACCCTTGTCTGGCTTGCCTCGGATTTCGGGAGCTCTCTGCTTGCTCTCAAGGCTCACATTTCAATGGGGCTAGCCACCGATTGCCGGAAGCGACAAGGCAACCCTGTGATGCGGAAGGCTTGATGTCGCAGGTAAGACTCAACAGTTGCAGTCAATTGTTGACCCGCAGAGTCAATGCAACTGGGAAGTTGGTACTGTTTTGCGAGTCCGAGGCTGTGCAATCTCGCAAATCGTCTTTGAAGGCCAAACTGGTGATTTGCTGTACACATCACCGCCTTGGACGGAGCCCAATCAGCCCCGGCTGGCATGCCAAAAGCTGTATATAGCCTGGCACGCCAAATGACAGGGAAGCCTTAGCTTTCCCAGCGAATTCCAAATGGTTCTGGATCAAGGTTCAGCAACCATATGATCATTCCACCTGTGGCAAGCGGCTTTGCCGCTTCACGGCATGCCTTGACAATTATCACTTCACTAGCCTCTGCAGCTGGTTCAGCAAGCCAGAGCCAGCTCTTCCTGGAGTGCTGCGATGAATCAGTTCCACTAAACATCTGATAATTTTGCAAGGTTGATTCTATAGATCTTCAAAGGAAGGAGCAACAGCTTATTTGTAGTTTTTTACCAAAGGGTTGCCTTGCAATATCCGTAGAATCCAAATTTGCTGACGACCTCTGTCGTCTTCGCAGCTCACCATGTATATGTGTGGCTCACGTTTTGATCGTTTTGGGTCAGGACCTGTGCAAGTCGTCTCATATTCAAAGCAAACGCAAACTTATACATGGCACAAGGTGCCTTGGAACAAGGTCCCTTGGCACGAGGTCCTTGGCACATGGTCCCTTCGGCATTGGGCCATGGCCAACCCCAAAATAGCACCAAGCAAAGCCGTGAGCACCGCCATGACCCATTCAAAAGCCATTCACCCATCTTTCCTTCGCACGATTTTTGCTCTTGGGGACACTCTGGTGGACATAATTTTGGTCGGGATTCATGTCCACCAATGGCCACCACCCACTTTTGAGGTGGTGCCTTGATAAACATAATGGTCAAATCGACTGAACATGACTGAACCATGGCGCAACCGGCAGATGCCGGCGCCCCAGCCGCCCGGCCTGCGCTGCTCCGGCAGCTCTTGGGTTGGCAGTGGTGCTGATCCTCGAAGCGGTGCTTCAGGCAGACCTTCACGCCGCAGCTGCCGCAGTTGCAGGAGTTCCTCGCGTGCACGCAGCTTCCCTCAGCTTCCCTCCAATTGGCGCCCTGGGATTGGTGGGAGGTTTCCCATTTACCCCCGACAAGAACCAAGAAACCCGGAACAACCAATCCCAACCACCAATAAGGCTTACCCTTTCCTCAACTAACAGCATGGAACAACCGGGGAGGCGTGGAACTCAGGTCAGTGCAAATCCATGTTCTCAGGAGAAATGAGCTGCGAGCGGATGGGCTAGAGTTGTCTGGTTCCGCCCAACATTCAGAGCCATGGCCCATATCTCGGCTTGCTGGCGATTGTACAACTTCCGATCGTCCAGAACTATGGACCCCACTCTTTTTCAAACCTTCTCTCCCGCCAGGCTTCGAAAAGGTGAGCTTCTCCTTGCAGCCCTTGGCAGGGCAGCGTGGCACCTGGGCCTTCACAGGTTTCGGCACACAAGTCGCGCTGTGCTGCTCGAAGAGCAAGTTCTCATCCACTCCCGAGGCCAGAGGCAGGGCTTTGTCGCACAAGGGGCAAACGATGACACGGCGGTCCTGTGAAGAACGACTGCTTTCTTTCCAGTCTGCCAGTTTGACTGCTTTTGGATGGTGTAACCACCTTGAGGTTTTCATGCGCTGCAACCGCCAGCAAACGTGAACAAACTTGTGAAGTATGAGGCTCAAGTCACGGCTACGATAACCTTTGGAGACTTGGACGATGGCCTCCACCCTGAGTTTCGTCTCACAGTGACCCGACAGGCTCCTTGTCGGCTCGCCCCTTGCAGTTGTGGTTCTCATAGCTGTAGTGCTGCGCACAAAAACTCTTCCCGCAGGTGTCGCAGTCAAAGGGAAGCATGTCCTGCACATCAATTTTTAAGAAACACATTTGCCCTTAGGCAAACCCGGCAAGTGGGACTGCGCCCAAATATGCTTGGACATATTTGATTTTGATTTATCGTTGTTTCCTATGAAGATCATCCAATATGGGTTTCAATTTGTTGGCAGGTTCCGTCGCTCGAACTTCGCATGCCATTCTAGTCTTGGGCTTTTAGGTGGCTTTGCAACAGATTTGTCCGGGGAGGAGCAACGCTCAATGTGTGCTGAGACCAGATCTGTCCTGCTGCTTGCAGTAAGGATCTGAGCAGTGCTTGCCGCAATCGCTGAACTGGGCCATCGCCAAGAGATGAAACGGCACAGGAAAGCACCGAAAAGCCGCCGTGGGTCAACTTGTCACAGAACGCTTTGAGCCGAAACCGACAGGTTTCGCCGCTGGCAATTCGTTCCTGCCTGCGACTCCATTGCAGTCAACTCCTAACATCCCCAGTCCAAAGGCCTCGAGGTGGTCTGGAGGGTGAGGAGCCGCCCATTTCCAGCTCCTGAGAGTCAGCTTGCTGCCTTGTTTGGGTTCACAGTATGGACTGGACAGCTCTTTGAGAAGGCATGGGAATCCTTGGCAACCAAAACGAAGCCTGCCCTTTGCCCATTTCCTCTAGGGAATGCTGCCTGCTGCAGAAAGCAAAGCTCAGATTCATCCGAGAGTTGCGATCGTGTTGGTTGGAACATCCACTCTCCGCACCAGGTTGGCGGTGTCATGAGGGAGTCGGCAAGCATCAATGCCGGGCCATACTCCATTGGGGCTCTCAAATTTGGAATTTGCTTGACTGGCTAAGCAAGGTCAGCATCTTCAAGCATCAAAATAACTTGATCGCTCGCCTGCCTGTCCGATATTGGCACTGAGATTTGTGATAAGCCCAAAAAGTATCCCAGCCAGCCATGAAACTTCCGAGCAAGCTACCTGCCACACTCCCAAAATCCACCCTAGGGTTGGCCCTAAATGTTGCTATCACGCCATAGCTGTCGCTGTGGAGAAAAGAGCCAAACTCGAGTTAAACACAGAAAAACAAGAGCTGGGCGCAGCAACAACAGCCCCGGCACCGGAAAAGCAATACCTCAGGCTTGGCAAGTGGCCCCCACAGACACCCGAAATCATATGTACTCATTTGCTGCACAACATGCTCTCCCCACCCAACTCATGGCCGTGTTCCTTCTAAAACCACTGGATGGGCGTCTCCCCAAAAGTCAGACCATGCCGCCACCTCTGCCTCCGGCTCCACTGCCACTTCAGCTTCTGCAGCAAAGCGCTGAAGGAAGAGAGCCTCGTTCGGAAGCAAAGCCAAGGTTGCCAAGGGATGCAGGCGTGGATTCTCCCATGTTTGATTGTTGTCCCTGGCATGCAAAGCCCACGGATTGAAGCCATTCGCGGGCATGCTCAAGGAATGGTGAAATCAACACACTTGTATCTAAGAGGATCTTGTAGGGAGCAAAAATCCAGAACCAGGTGCTCATCGCCCACAACCAAACAATAAGAACCTGTCATGATATTGCACACAGCTTTTACCTCTAAGGAGGGGCCTGCAGCTCCCAAAAGATCCCCACTCCGCCCCTTGCTTTTTCGGCAAACACTGGCATTTTTGGGGGTGAGGGCCACGAGAAGAACAGCAACAACCACAACCAGTCTGAGACGGGTAGCTTCGGCCAGGATTTATTTTGTGTGCCGCGAATCCTGAATTGTAAGTCGTAGGCAACTGTCATGATGTTGGTTGTGGGAAAACACGTCTAAACTCAAGAGCCATGCATGATGCGGCCTCAAAAAGCGTAGTGGTGTTGATGTCGGCCAAGAGCGCGGGTGTGCATACGGCTGTACGTACAGCTGCAAGTTTGCATGTGCATGGCAGGCGCAGCAAATTCGAAATGTGAGGTACAGATCTCGTGGCAGGCGAGGTTCATTTCGTGGCAGGGCGCAGCCTTTTCACAAGCTCAAGTACAGATTGTGTGGCACATGCAGTACTCTCGCACGGGCAGGCGCAGATTTCGTGGCAGGCGCAGCACTTTCGCAAGGTTGATAGATAGATGGATGGATGGATGGATGGATGGATGGATGGATAGATGGACAAATGGATAGATTGGAATCTGCAGCAAGAAAGAAGGAAGGAAGCAAGAAAGAAAGAAAGAAAGAAAGAAAGAAAGACAATGACAAAGATAAAGAAGAGAACAAGAACGAGCAAACAAAAGATACAAATAACTCAGGTGTTTCATAATATACTATAAATCGTCATTTTAAACTTGAGGGAACCGGATTCGCCGGCTCTACCAAACAACGACATCTTTGGAAGGCCTTCCATTACGCCGGCGCATTCCGGCGCTCCCTTCCCAAAGTTCTGGCCTCCTGTCGTGCAAACTTCAGAAAGTCCAAGCTTTGGTTGGCCTGCCACGACAATTTTGACGGCACAATACGTCCAGTGAAGTAGTTGGATCTCCTGGTATTGCAAGCGGGTAACTTACGTATTTGCTTTCCGTGGATTTCAGCATACTTTGTCTAGCCTGATCGAAATTCCGGGGCCGAATTGCAATCCGTCATCTGCTTCATGCTCTGTTCTGGTTAAAAATCTTCTTAATCCGTGAACCGCACTGCAAATTGTGGGTGAACCCCTCATGCTTGAGCATCGAAAAAGAAACTCATAATCTGCAATCCGCAAGCATAGTTTGCTATCGACTAATCATTGGAAGGTAGGTCTTGAATAAGCTGGATTATTCACAGATCGATTCATAGTGGTTCAATTTGCCGTCTGAGAGATACACCGTCAGCAACCAAATCATACTGCCTGCCATTCAGTTTGATCTCATTTCAAGGGTGACAAGCAGGGTTAGACCAACAACCAATTTCAACATGCGCCTTTCGGTTTCCAGGGGCCAAGGTGTCGGGCCCCGGATGCCTCTTCCGGGCCCAGCTCACGGCAGTGGCCCGGCCTGCGAGCGTCCGAGGCAGTGGAGAGGGGTTGGCATGAGAAAAAGGGGAAGCCTTTCGGAGTGCAAGCGGAACAAACATGCCAAGCAGCCAAGCAGCCGGGGGAACTCAAGAAAAGCACGCAAGGGTGGTCTTACTTGGACAGCTTCCGGAAGGAAGAACGACTTTGAACGATCCGGAGAATAGACTATATAAATCTGCAGGTGATGAGAACTGGATCGAAGAAAAGCCGCACTACGCGATTTCTGACACTGTGGCAAGGTCTGGGCTACTGGATCAGGATACTCAGGGCAGCTCGCAAGTTTTGCTAGTTACTTGGGTGGGTCGGTTTGGGGTTTTGGGTGGGTCAGTTTGGGGTTTGCTGAGGTCTTAGGTTTGGGGTTTGCTGAAGCATGCTGAAGCGCGATGCTTTGGAGTTTGCTCGGGAAAAGAAATGGAGTGGATTGGGGTCATCGGAGCTTTAAGTGGCCTGTCTGGCGCGGGACAAGTCTCACATCTCAAGGAGGTGAGGTGAGTACAGGCACGCAGGGAGGCGGTCGGTGGCAAGCGGAATTCTGACCCGATGAACAAGACAAAAGTCATGCAAGGAGTTCAAGGGTGTTCAAGTAGGAAATCCAAACTTCAGAAAGCCAGCCTCACAAGCCAAAAGCTCCCGCCGGTTGTTCTTGCAAGAGCCAGTGCTCTGGCGTTCGCTCACTGAGGCCAATGCCACTTTTGCACCACGCGGAACTCCCCAGGCTCTGCCAAGGCCTCTGGCCTCAAGCGAGCGGATGCGAGCGGGGATCATGAAACAAGTCGAGCTTTGGCATAGGCAAAGTGCGACACAAAGCGAACTCGGGCTCGTGCTCTGACTCCACCCAAGTCAGCACCTGTGCCAGGCATCTCGTAGGAACATCCAAAATGCATATGAGGCACGGTCGAAATTACTCACTTGAGCTGGAAAAGCTGCCTAGTTTGAGAGTCCCCTATCGTTTTCCAGCGTTTTGTGTTTTCTGACACTTCTCACTCTGCAAGTATTGCGGGAATAAAAGAAGAGGAGCAGAAAGAGAGGCTCTAAGGAAAAAGGCAAGAAGGGAAGATGAAAAGAAGCGAAGAAGAAAAAAGGGAAGAAGGGAAGTGAAGAAAGGAAGGAAAGCAGAGAGGGAAGACAGGGAAGAATTACGAAGGAGAAAGGGAAAGGAGGAAGAGGAGGGGAAAAGCAAGACAGGCAAGGAGGAACGAAGGAATGAAAGCATGAAGGAAGGCGGAAGAGGAATGCAGGAAGGCGGAAGAGGAAGGAAGGAAAGAAGCAAGGAAGGAAGGGAGGAGCGGAGAGGGAGGGAGGGTGGAGGAGGAGAGGGGAGGAGGCCGCGTGAGCGTGGGAACAGCCAAATGTGGTACGTAGTGTGAGGGCTACGCGGTGGTCTGGCCCTATTTTTGTGTTTTCCAGGTATCGTGTAAGTATCGTTTAAGTAGCGTTCAGCGTATCGTTCAGACTGCCTGCCAAGACTAGAAAACTCTGCTCAGCTTCCCTTAGCCCAAGCAATGCGCAAGAAACAACCTATGCACGCGTTGCACGCGTGCGCCTCGCAACCCGCGCTGCTGCCCGACGACTTGGTGGTTGGTTTTCCTGTTCTGGCATTCCCGCCCAGCCATGCGCAGCTTGCCACGCTTCCACGGAACCACAAGGAGAGCACGCATCCCAAACAGCGTTCGCACCACCCCTCCCATCTCGGAGAACCCTGCGCAGACAAGAAGCACCTCCATCACTGTGGAAGGTCTGTGCGTAACCCCTTGCCATCGGGCATGAGGATTAAGGCTTCGTTTTGAACGTGGGGAAACAGGGAGCAAACGCTAGCTGAGCCAGGGTCTACAGAAAGGCGGGAGCCACTGAAGGCGTGTCCTAGCAAAAGTAGCCTGTGCAAAGCGAGCGCCCTTTCAATGCCTTATCCGAGTCCAATAAGCGCCAGCCATTTTAAAGAGAAAACTGCAATCCCATACATAAACAACAAGCACGCGAACCTAAACATAATTGCTTCCAAGGGTATCGTTTTTTTGAGAGTCCCCCATCGGTTGCCATAGTTTTGTGCATTTTCGCAACAATGAAACGCCGAATATTTAATTCAACAGAAGTAATTTTGACGGTGCTTCATGTAGCAATATCCACTTGTGCCAAGGCTATTCCAAACAGCCAGCAGAAGGCTTAATGTGCAACTGTTGAGGCCCGGTGCCGCTATCAAGGCAGAACCGAATAGTTTGCCCACCCTTCCAAGTAGGGTTCGTTCTGAGACACCCTTACTCTGCTATGAAGCAAGCATGGCAAACGCTATTCCGTGCTTGCAACTTGCATTGAGTTCTCATAGATTGCCCTCAGGGCTCAGCAGCGAAGTGAACCTTTGTGCCGCTGCCGGAGGAAGAGTATTGACAATATTGCCGCGCGACCCAGTATCCACCCCGTCGAAATCAAAAACACTGTACAATACAGTGTTCTAGCGCCTGTCTGAACTCCTTTGCCTCTAAATTGTGCTTCGGTTTGTTGTTGCTCGGGAGTCTCATTCAAGGTCTCCAGACGTTCATGCGCAGAGCTGAGCAAATGCTTTTGAGGGAGGCTGATCGCTTGAAGGTGCGTGTCATTGCTGAGCGGGTGCGCTTATCGTTTGGCTGGCGTGTGTGTGTGTGTGTGCAGTGCTGAGTGGGCGCGTGCTTGAGCGGGTGCGCTTATTTGGCAAGAGTGTGCGTGCAGTGCTGGCCGGGATGGCCTCAATATTCTATGACGCCCGGGAGTTTTTCATGCTGAAGGATGTCGACCACCAAATGCATCGCTTTTTTGTTTTAAGCGGAAGCTTGAGTATGCAGCAGTTTGCAACCAAGATCACAAAGGTTCCCGTGGCTTTGACAAGAACAAAGGTGTTTTTCCTGGCCTGACTTCTCTAGCTTTTTCTCCCCGAGTTGCACACCACGGGGCATTCCCAGCAAGTCCAAAGGGTGCCAAGGGTGCCATGTCCTTGAGCCGTGCCTCCTGCAATTGCGCCTGCCGCAGGAAGCGGCGGCTGAGGCGGCCGCCTGCTGGCAGCCGAATCAGCAGCTGAACCTTGGGTTCAGAAGACCGGGAGCGTTTCTCACGAAACAGAACCCAGAAAATGTTGCCTTCCTTGTGGTTCCCTTGAAAACCAGTTTCTTTTCCTTTGACCCGACCTCATTCCGGGAAGTCAGCGCTTGAGGCTCTGGCGGCGCCAGCGCCAGCATCCGGCTCCGGAGGTAGCTGCTGCGCCTTTTGGCGACAGCCTCGAGTGAAAGCCCCATCTGTAAGCAAATCATGGCCACAAGACAGCCTATGAGTTTGGGTCTGCGATTGTGGGGAAACACTGCAACCCCGTCGTTGACTACTGTGTTGACATCAGATTGAGGCTTAGCTGCGACATGGAAGCGACATTGCCTGTAAAAGCCCCTGCTTCAAAATGCTTCCACCGGCTGAGCTTTGCCTTTCTCTTCTTCCGCAACATGTTTGGATTCCGCGGCTAGTATGCAACTATGCCTGTGTCACGTGAGTGGTTCAAATTGCTTTACTGCATTTTACGGCACAGACCAACCGCTGAGTGGAAGGCTTCCGGGCCCTCCACGAACCCTCCGCGAAAATCCCCTGCAGTTGTGGTGACTCCGAGGCTCCATGTTGCATTTTGTGTTTGTTTTTCTCCTGCTCAATTTTTAACCCGCGCATCCGGCCCGTGAGCGGGCTTTGGAACAGCCTCACCAATTGAAGCTGTACTTGTGGAAGATTAGCCTTCTTAGTGCTTCCGCGGAGCTTCCGCAGAGGAAACTGCTTGACAACCTAACGCGACCCGCGGGCGTTTGCGCGTCGACTCTGGAACAGTCTTTCAGAATAATGTCGGCTCTTTGACTAAACATGTCTGCGGTAATTTAGAACGCCGCTCGCTGTTTGATGTGCGTTGGATCGGCTTTGTCCGAATCATGCAAGCTGGGAATGACACTCAAACACACAAAACGGAGAAAGTCAAGCAGCAAAATGCGCTCGTATTACAAGCCGTAGAACAGAAAGTACTAAACCCTCTCTTGTTGGTTTCCCCATTGCTGCCAACCGACTGGACAGCCTGCGTCACCTCAAATCCGCGCCAGGACTCCCAACGCTCCAGCCGCATCTGCTCCCGATGCTCGGCTTCCCGCTTGGCCGCCTCAGGCTGTCAGGGCTTACCAGCTCCACCGCTCTGCTCACCGGTTCAGAGATGTGGGCAATGTGGAAATGCGCCCACACCCTGTAAAGCAAACCCCACCCCTGCTTTACTTTCCCTCGCACCAACCAGGTGTACATCAGTCCCCACTTGCAAGTTTGACAGCATCCGTGCGGATACAATTCTCCAGCCACGGGTTTCTTTCCCGCAATAGAAACTTGACATAGATGTCAACAGGTGGGCTCTTCTGTCAGGAAGTTACTATTCGTCAAGGACAAATCCTTTTCTTTGCCGTGGTGAATGGGACCAAAGCTTTCCCAGAGCTCCGAAGCCTCTTCTCTGGCAACCCGTTCTTCCTCTGCGCGGAGCTCGGCCTGACAGCTTTGCCAGGGCTGCCTGCTCAGCGCAAGCATTCCAAGCGGGCTCTTCATATGGCTGTGGGTCAAACATAAGTACCCAAAATGGAAGCCTAGTAAATGGAACCATGGACTAAAATCTGCGGTCCCCTGGTGGTTTAATTTTGACCCATGCCCATGTTACGGCAATCAAACTCTTGGTCCGACCTCCGTCTGCTCGCTGGGCAGAACCTGCCGAGACAAAAACATGCAAACACCCAGGTTGCCAGGACAGCTATGCCGCTCCGTCAAAATCGGATACAGCTGCAGCTGAGCACATGATTCATTCAAATGGTCTGGTGGCGTTGGCGTTCCAATCAGCCGCTTAGCAGCTTTGTGGTACGTAGGAACTCTCGCTGCGATTGTGCATGAGGTTGAGACATATTGAAACATGCACCTCGCCACTCGCACCGCGCGCCTTGTGCGCAAAACAAATGAAGCCACAGGGGAAACATTCCAAGGTGAAATGCAAGGCTTGGATTGCCAGGCACTTTGACTTGGCCAAAGCTCCTGGAGAGTATTGCACACAGCTTTGATCACGTCTAAGCGGGCCATGAAGGGACCATTTCTTCACGACAGCTCTCTGGGGGATTGGGACTTGGAAGCCACATCCTCTGGTAATTCGGCATCAGGCAGCACGCGGTTGACACCGTAGCTCGCTTTGATGGCCTGAAAGCGGCAAGCAAAGAGGCTAGCGTAGTGTTCAGGCTCCTCTTGACTTTGCATCTCTTTCATTTCAGCTCCGCAAAAAGCAAGCGTGCCTTGCCGTTATCAGACGCTTTCCGCATAACGGCCATTTCCTGCACAGCAAGCATGGCACGCGTGGCAACTGTGATTCACTTCACATCTGAAGGCCATCCTACGAGATAATGCTTTGCAGCATATAATTCTGAATCCCCCCAAGAAGCAAGTTCAACTGCCCAGCTGATCATCAAAATGGCTTCAGGGCACAAAAGTGATTTGGCTTTTCGAGGCTTCACACGCCCCACGCCATGCACCATGTCTCGGCCGCGTTGCATTGAGTTTCGTTGGCATACTGCAGCTAGAGGCTGTCTAAAGCTCAGGACAGGAGCTTCAAGGGCGCAAGAAGCATATTCAACAGGGCTTGGCCAAACAAAGCGGCAGCTTCGACTGAAAAAAAAATTATCAAGGGCAAATTGAAATGTCCTAAGTATCCCCTACACCGCTGTCTGAAAAAAATACTCCCTGACATTCCCTTGAGTTGCCCAGTGGCCAAAAGGGGTTACCTTGTAATGCCTTGTAAGGGACACCAAAAGGTGATCAATGATTTTGCAAATTCGACTCTTTGTGCGAAAGCACTGGCAGTGGTAGCGCAAGCTGTTTTCACCACACGAGCAACAAAAGGTATGTTGAGTGAAACATGTCATGCAACTGCTTGGTAAATGATCTAATCTGCTGACTGCTGTGTCTGGCTGCTATGATGGTCGTCCCGCGTTGCCAAGGCTGACATGGACCGATCGCCACCTGTTGACCAGGCTCATATGAGCAGGGGGCCGTTGTGGTTTGGGCCGAGCAAAGCCTCCACAAGCACATGCACTCAGATCAAAGGCTGCTACCTGGAAATACCTGGTTTCTGCTGGCAACTCTCACACCAGTGTATTTATTCTTGTTGATCTGAAGTGCTTGAACCCTCTGCCGCGATCTCATCTGCCAGTCTCTGCCTGCGGGCATCGTCTGCTTTCAGCTTCATCTCAGGCTTCTTGGAATTGGCAGATCGTTTCTGCCGTTCACTTCTCTTCTTCTCCTTCAAGGCACGATTCTCCGGGCTCTGCACAAGGCTAATCATACCATCTCGAAGGAATTGTTTCAGAAAAGTCTTATCCGCTGTGGCCTTGGTCAAAACATCTGCAATGTTCTGCATTCCGTCAACCCAACGAACTGCTGCTCCCTCTTGCCTGACTGTCTCCCGCAATAAAGCCCCTTCAATCGCCATCCGCTTGTCTGTGCTGGTGGAAGTTGCATCTTTATGCAAGTAGTCGTAAACGCTCTTAGCGTCAGTGACGTACACTCTCTTCCTCCGGCGAATCGCTTCCGGCCAATCTTTAAGATTCAGCTGGTCTGTAAGAGCTTCTTCCAACAAACAAATGCACCAATCACCAGCCTCGACGGCTTCTGCTAAATGCGAAGCTTCTGCTGCTAGCGTCGACCGGCACACACGTTTTGTTTGGCTGCTGTGGAAACATAAAACATTGGCTCTTGCAGGCTGGTCCTCAAGGACCTCCTTGTTGCACACCAAGACGAAATAACCTCCACCACTTCGATATCGAAGGATATCATCCTTCTCCGGCGTGCCATTGGCATGACCTGAGTCGGCCAATAAGAGAACTATTGCATCGCTCAGATTGACATCTGACCAATACCGCATCCTGAAATCTGCATTACGACGTGCCTGAGACAAATACTGTCGAAGTCGAATCAAGTCGCCCACACATGCTGAACGCTTGCTGCGCTGTGCAACACCGTTCTCATATGCTAGATCGCATCGTAGCTGCCGCGTCAACCAACCAAGTTCTCCGGCTGCGCTTTCATAAAGCATCTTCTCCTCAACCGTTAAAGAACTCTGCGTTTGCGCTTTCCTGGCTGCTGTGATGTGAATCCGCTTGGTGTTGATGGCATAGTTCCGCATGGAAACATCTATATGTCCATCAGCATGCTGCTTGATTTCCCGACCACGAAAAATGAAATCTCTTGCATGGTTTGTAGCAAACTCCAAGGCTTTGGCTGACTTCTCGAAGGCTGATACCATGTACTCTTCTTTGACTCCACCTTCAAGATCATCGACATGGGTTACCAGAATTCCCAAAAGCTCCTTGCTGTCGGGCTCTCTCAAATAGAACAGTGCTGGTTCAAGTCGTGACTCTCGCCATCCGTCTGATTCCAGATGTCCCTTCAACGCCACCCAGAACAATCGAGCGGCTTCTGAGAAGCCATAAATGGCTTTCCGAGCTCGCAGCAACCGACCTGGCTGAACGCCACGAAGTCCACCCTTCGGCTGTTCAAGGTACACCTCTCGATCCAAGCTGCGACCTGAAAAATAGGCGTTCTTGACGTCCTTGCTGATCAAGACAAACCCCATGTGCGCTGAAACCAGAAGACAAATGCTTTCGGCAATCGAGCTGGCTGTCGGAGCATCCCGTCTGTAGTGGCCCAGGCTCTTATCTTTAAAACCCTGCACCACCAGTCTCGACTTTGCTAGGAACTCCTTGCCCTCCAGACCCTCGTGCTTGTTGGTACGAACCCAACGTGTTGGAATGACCAGGTCTGGCCTCTGACTGCGAATCTGAGCACTTGTTGCTTCATCCACGATTTCACATGCGTCCTTGGAAATCCATGCTTGCCATTCACGGTCATCGGATCCACCAACTCCCGTGAACTTCTCCCTGATATCTGCTGGTTGATCTGCAAGTCGAAGTTCCTTGCGGCCCTTCTTGACATTCGCAGGCGGGGCATTTGCGCCCATCGCATATTCGTACATGGCGAGGTATTTGTCTTCGAAGACGTTCCTCCGAAAACCAAACAGAAAGTCATCAATTGACACTCCAAGAGCTGAATAAGATTCCTCCGACTGATAGAATCTCTTCTTAGCCTCATGGATGAGAAAACCTTCTTGCTCCACGACGAGGTAAGCGAAAAGGGCTGCATCGTCTGGCTCCCCATCTGCACCACGAAGTCGTTTGGCCTCGCGTTCATCTGCCTCTTCTTCTGGTGTACTTGGAAACACCGTAGGGCGTTTTGGAACTCGAGCTTGATGATAGTCATCAACGTCCGGATCGTATTCTGGAACAGGAACCAAAACGGGGTCCAGCATCGGAGACTGAAGTTCGGAACGATACTTCTTACGTTCTTCACCTCGTTTCTTTCTCCGAGCATCATCTCTCTTCTTGAAAAAGGCTGAACTCTTTACTGCTCGCCTCGCATCACGTTCACTTTCCAGGCGTATCCGTCCCATGGACGTTGAACTCGCTGACAAATCTTCGGTGGCATCTGAAGCTGGCTGCTCGGGAACAGACCCGGGTGTACCTGCTGGTGGCTCACCACGAGCTAGTTCATCGTCTCCAGCAGGAGCATCTGAAGGCGGTTCTGCAGCATCTTGAGCGGGCAGCATTGGCTGGTCTTCCTCTTGATCTTCAACTTCAGGAAAACCTTCAGCTGGCGGCTTTGGTTTGCGCCGAAGATCAATGAACCCAGTACCACCAGCCGGTGGCTGGCTGTCCAACAATTCCATCTCAGCACCCAAGGTTGTCCATTGCTCCACTTCCTGTTGAAATGCGAGAGACAACTGCTCGGGACTGACTGCCAAGATGATGCCGCGGTGCGAAACCCAGATTGTGTGCGAACCCTCATGTCCAATAACACGTGCCACACCTCTCCAGCAAAGGGGACCCGGAGTTTGATCTGATGCATCGTAATAGAAAACCCAGGTGCCAACTGGAAAAGGGCCTCGTGAAGGTCGGACCTGACGAAGTTCCGCCCGTTTCAAAGCCTCGCTGTTGCTAACCTTCACAAAAGCTTCTCTTGCGCTGAACCGAAGTTTGCTCTTGTAATAAAAGCGACTGCTGGGTGTGGCCGAAAGTGCCAGTGTTCCAAGACGTACTGCTTCTCCATCGTCTGTCAAATCTGCCGGCAATCGAATCGACCTTCCCAATACCCATTGGCTTGGGCTAAACCCGGCCTTGCGAACTAAACTGTTCTTTGCTGCATTGATTGCGCTGGTTGCGTGGATCATGTCGTCCTTGCCTGCCAGCTGCTCACCCCAGACCATTCGCTTCAAGATCCCCTTCCAAATGTCGCCATGTCGCTCTATCTGACCGAGCTGCCATGGACTGGCACGAGCCGAAGTATCAAAATGGCAACCCTCACTTGCCAGAGCGTCTGCAAAGTCTGTAACAAAGTACTTCGCCCTGTCCGTGAAAATACCATACTCTGGATACCCAGCCCAGCTTGCCCAACTCGTCTCAAATGCTTGCAACACTGACGCTGATGTGGGATTGCTGTGGGTGTCTTGAAGCAAAGAGCACACTTGGAAAGTGGTAGCCTGGCAAAGAACGTTCAACCAACACCATGTTTGTCCGTCTGCGTCTTTCCCCTGAAAAACATCCAAGCCAATCTGCACATTGAACTCTTCTGCTAAGGGAATCTTGGACGGCCGAGGCGGTCTCGGTGCTAAAATG